CGCCTCCGATGCAGCCAACCCGCTTCAAGCCACTTTCCTCGATGCCCAATCATCTTCCAGCACTCCCCTTAAAAGCAACTCCAAATCATCTCTCGGCCTGCTCTTCAACAAGCGCAAGATCCGTCGCTCCTATGTCGGACTTTGATTCAGACAACCCACCTCCATCCCCTTCTCCACCATCGTAGTGAGCTCATCCGACTCCTCCTCGATGCTCCTTCAACCTCACCTCCAGTGTGTACTCCCTCCAGACTTTCATGGAGTTCCCTGTCACTTTAAACGGTCCGGCAGAAGACCGCCATGTTGAGCCTGGTTCTGCCAGAGATTTCTTCCCTAAGGGGAGTTTTTTCTCTCCACAGTCGCTTCATGCTTGCTCTTCATGGACAGTTCATGGACAGTTTATGCAAACTTGTTCATTCAGTGACATCTAACTCAAGCATCACCCTGTATATCCTTATTCTCATACATCAGTTTATCTGCATTAAAGTATAAATCAGCGTTTATGTTCCTGCCGAGGCCTGAGCGCCAAAGTTCAAACTATTGTATCAATAAACTCTTCTAATTGCATCTTTCTCTCTCTGTGAGTTTTTCCGATTGAAATGCATGGATGCCTTAAGTAGAGAACAGATAAATTCGAATATAAATTATTTTTACTTGTATGGAGGTTTTAGTCGATGTGCTACAGTTAGTGTCCGATGAATATATTCTCTGCTCAGTGATTGGAAGTCCAATCTATCAACAGCATTCTATATCATTTCTGACAAAACGTTAATAACATTTCCCTTTTAATTTATGTTTCAATCTGTTTTCTCATCAATATGCACGCTTCAAAAACAGGGCAGGTAATGTTCTGCAGGCAGGAATTTCTCAGCATGTGTCAAAATTCTATTTTAGGACAGCCATGCATAAGGAATATGAAAACATTAAGAATATGTTCGCTTTACGTTCATATTCCAATCCTTTTTCTCCTCAGTGTGCGAGAGGGGAAGTCATTCCCTTTTTGCCATTTTCCCATTTCATTTCTAGCGTTAGAGTCATAATACATTTTTAAAAACCTCAGGATCTTCACATCACAAGAGATATTCTAAACAAAGATTTGATATTATCCTTAACACAGTAACAAATGAGCAAAGAAATGACATGTCATTTTGCAAAACAAAAAAAGTAAACCTGTTATTTTAAATTCTAGAGGTAGCACACACACCTATCATGAACGCCTTTGGCAGAATTAAAATTAGCCATTTGAATCTACATTAATCTAGATTAATTTCAAGATTACAGTGAGATTAATCTAGATTAAAATAATTAATTTACTGTATGCCCACCACACATTTTAACCCATGGTGTTTATTTACGTAGTGAACAATTTTTTACTCTCTCAGTAACATCTGAATGAACAGACACATTTATTTGGTTGGTGATTAATAGCGTTGCTGATAGTCTAAGTTACTAAATTGGTGAAAGAAAACTGAATTTTTAACAGCCAGACTCAAAACATTAACTATAAATCCAGTTCTAGTTATTTAACAATTCATAAGCGTCTGGCAAACTCATAACAGAGCTAATGTTCTAACCACTAGGCCGCCACTCCCCACCAGGCAAATAGAGGGCGCTAGGGTGCTATCCCATCTGCCCAATGACTTATAAAAAAGAAACATTTAATTAAATTAAATATAAAATGAAAATATTTTGAAACACATTGATATATTTTATTCAAATATGCAAGATAAATATT